CCGTCCCCCCCCCCCTCGTTCCTGGGTGGGCGAGGGGTGCTGACCTGTCCTTCCTTGCAGCACCCCCGGGGCCTCGAGGTGAGCGTGAGCCAGAGCCAGGCCGCACTCCCTCTCGACCACCTCCCCTCGGCTCTGAGTAAATGAAAGTGCGAAAGGGATTTTCAGTGTGAACGCAGCTTCCAATCTTTCAAAACCACCTCGGTCTCAAATTCAGATGAAGTTGGTCGCTTATGCAGTGATTCATAAATATTTATGAGACCCAGCTGTGCAGAAGTGGCACTGCGCTGGGCATGGAAGGAAACGAAAGCAACAGCGTGAGCAGAGGTGCGGAGGCCACACGCATTGCAAGGACGAGGCAAAGCCCTGAGTCTGCCGGGATGGATGGCCCAGAGCAGGGTGCCCGCCTGCGCTCTGGAGGCAGGGCAGCGGACCGGGAGGGGGCCTCACAGCTCCCACTCCCAATGCAGGACGACACCATCGACTTCCTCTAGTATGGGGCAGCCCTGAACGTGGTGTTGGGCACCCTGGAGCACCCTGAAGTGGACCTTCGAGATCTACAACAAGGACCGCAACGGCTGCATCGACCGCCTGGAGCTGCTCGACATCGTAGAAGTCAGTGTCTGCCCGTGGGGCCAGGCACCCAGGCACGGGAGCATCGCTGGGCTCCCAGGGCTGGCCACTGAAGCAGGGGGGCCTGGGGCTGGGGTTCGGGGAGAGGCATTGAAATCATTCAAGTGTGCTTTCTGACCACAGTGGAATTAAGCTAGAAATCAATTACAAAAAGAGAACTAAAAAATCCCCATGTGTTTGGAAATTAGGCAATATACCTCTAAATGCTCCATAAATCAAAGACACAAAATCACACACACACACACACACACAACTGAATAATGATGCAGAAAAACACACAAAACAAAACTTGTGGAATGCAGCTAACGCTGGGTTTGCAGACACATGTATAGCCTTAAAATGTATATATTAGAAAACGAGAGGCTGAAAATCAATGATCCAAGAAGTCTTCTTAAGAAATTAGAAAAAAGAAGAGTAAATTAAGCCCGGCCAGCATGACTCAGTGGTTGAGCTTGGGCCTATGAACCAGGAGGTCAAGGTTTGATTCCCATGCCTGAGTGTGGGGCTCAGTCCCCAGTAGGGGGCGTGCAGGAGGCAGCGGATCAATGACTCATCATTGATGTTTCGCTCTCTCTCCCTCTCCCTTCCTCTCTCTGAAATCAATTTTTAAAAAAGTAAATTAAACCCAAAGAAAGCAGGAGAAGGGAAATAATACTGTAAAGAACAAAAACTAATGAAATAGAAAAAAAATGCACAAAAGAAAGTTGGTTCTTGAAAAGACTAACAAAGCTGATAAACTACTAGCGAGAATGAGGAAGGGGGAAAAGTAGCACTGAGGAGCAGGCGCTGGCATGTGGACAGCGTCAGCCTGTTGCCAGAGCTGTGGTGGACACTTAGCCCATTTTACAGATAAGGAAATCACCTCACAGAGGTTCTGTGTTGGCCCAAGTTCAGCCACCGGGAGGTGCTGGCTATAACCCCTGAGGCTCCCAGGCACCATCAGGGAGGCTGCTCGTGCCAGGTGCTGTGCTGGGCAGTGAGGCCCTGGGAATTGGCCAGACACACCTCTGTACCCAGAGGGCGCCGACTCTAAGAACTAAGGGTGATGCGCTTGTTTGTCTCTTCTCCATTTCACTTCACAAATGTTGCCTCACTGGGAGAAACACAGGAGAACCCTGTTCTTTCCCCTCCAGTCTGGACGCCTGTGTCTCCCATCACCCTGTTTCACACACATGGACACACATCCATAAATACATTAAATTCTCTTTTCCTCTCTGAATCTGCATTTCCCTCCGTAAAGTAGTGTTGAGACCATCACAGTACCATACATGTCCCTCATTAGAGGATTCAAGTTTGGGGCTCACAATGGAAACGCTAGTGACATCGGGGTGGGGCAGCATGTGAGGTCAGGGACTTTCCAGTTGCAACTAGGCCAGTGGGACCCTGAGACACAACAGTTTTGATTTGGACCTGGGTCCTGTGGTCCTCAGATGCACAGCCTGGGGGGCAGCGCTGGGGAAATGGTGCTGAATGGTGGGTTGGGGGAGGGCGGAGTTTGCAGGGTCCCCTCAAGGCCTCTGGGATTTCTCTGCAGATCATTTACAAGCTGAAGAAAACCTGCAGGGTGGAGGTGGAGGCGGAGAAGAGCCGAGCCAGTAACAGGGGCAGGGGTGGGGCAGAGGTGGTGGCCTGCACCTTAGCACCCCCGCTTCCTGGCCCTGTGACCTTGGGCAAAGCCCTCTTCCTCTCAACACCTGGTGTCCTCATCTGTAAGCTGGGTTCAGAGAGGACACCACGAAATAACAAAGGATGTCACTAGCACATGACAATGGTTTGTAAGAGCCATTAAAACTCCTGCTAGGGTTGCCACGGAGGCCAGGCAAGCGGGCGAGACAGTAGGAGCTTTGGAGGCAGGCAGAGGGATGACACATCAGCCTCTCAGCCAGGTCTCAGTTGCCTCACCTGGAAATGGGGGTAGTAAAGTCTGAGGACTACATGGGGTAATTAAGGCCCCAAGGCTGTGCAGGGAGGTAGCTGGTTGGGAACCCAACCAGAAGAACCCTGAAGAACACTCTGGGCAAAAGTAAAACTTTCAATTCATTTGCAAAGCAAGTCCCTTAAAGAAACCCTTGAAGGTTCCAGGAGATTCCTGGAGCATCGACAGGCCCCAAGCATAGGCCCTGAGTCTGCAGGATCCCTTCTTTTAAGAGCTGCAGGCGCACCCTGGGAGAGAAGGCCCCCTCTTGGCGGCCCCCTCCAAGAGTCCAGGCTCAGCCGGTTTCCAGAACAGCCCTCATCCTGGCAGCCCTGTGGAGGGGGAGGGGGA